CCCCCCCCCCCGCAGCACAGCAGGTGCAGTCACTGTTTATAAACAAGAAAGCGGAGGGAGAGGCTAAGTCACTGTCAGGGTCATAGGTTCTAGGTTGTGGGACTAGAACTTGGACCCAGGAAGTCTGACCCGAGCTTCATCTCAGAATGTGCTATATCTGTGATTTTGTAAGTTGGCTCATTGCCATTCCACTAAAAATTAGGGACTTTCAGCATCTTTTGAATTGTATTGAGTCGTAAGGCTTTTTGAGTATGCTTATTTTATTTTATTTTTTGAATAGGCAATACAGTCACATGGTTCAAAAACCAAAAAATAGAAAAGCTTTACGGTGGAATGTCTTCTTTGTAGCCATATGCACCCCTCCCCTGCCCATCAAAACTAACTTCTGGCCTTGGCTTCAAGGCTCCCATCCACACTGAGAGGCACACACAGACTCGTTTTTACAGCCACATCATACACAGACTGTTTTTTGGGGGGGTTTTCTTGACTTAATTTTTCTTGGCAGCTCTCCGCTATCACTAGATAGATAGCTTTCTCTTTGTCTCATTTTTTCTGTAACTGCTTGTATTCCATTATACGAATGTGCAATAATTTAACCAGTCCCGTTAACAAGCATTTGGATAGTTTCCAGATCTTGTAGAGACATCATTTCACATGTATATGATTATGCAGTTGTACAGTTCTGGGGTAAAAGACATACACATTTGTGTGGAAGATTTTATAACATTGCCCTCCGTAGGAAGTTACCAGTTCACATACCCACCTGTAGTTCAGACAATGCCCGCTTACCCACGCCTCACAACACAGGTGTTATTAAAAACTTCTGTATTTGCCATTGTGATAGATGCAGAATTACACACCAGTGCATTGTAGTTTACATTTTTATTACAAGTAAGGTTGACTGCCTTTGTACTTCCTTTTGTGTTTACATCTTTACCCATTTTTATACTGCCTTGTTGGTCTTTTCTTGCATTTCTAGGAGTGTTTTATTGGTTAGGGGTATTAATCCTTTTACTTTAATGAGCTGCAAAATTGTTTTTCTGTCTTTTGACTTTGCTTATGATGGCTTAGCCATGTGAATTTTTATTTTTATGCAATCTGTCGGTTTTTAGTGGTTTCTGGACTTTGAGTCATACTTAGAATGCTGCCTTCATTCCACAGCAATGATTTCCCTATATTTTCTTCTACAGTTTTTATGGTTTAGTTTTTTTAAGCTAAATTTTTATTTCTTTGGAGTATATCCTGGCCAGAGGTTGATGCAACCTAACTCTCCCCAGATGGCTGCCCAGGCACCCAGCAGCATCTGTTGAAGTCTGCCTCCCCTCGCTGTGTGGTATTATGTTCATCACGCCTGTCTCTGGCCGTTCACCTCGCGCCAGCACTGCGCTGCTGCAGGTTCATTGGTCCTGTCTCCCCCCCGTTTTTTTTTACAATTTTCTCTAGCTGTTCTTGTTTATGCCATATGACCTTTAAAAATCCTTTAACATAATGCGTAATAAAACTGCCCAACCAGTGTTTCCTCCCAAGGGTTGCACTTTTAACCACTTAATGTGTCACTATTCTTTTGATACTTTACCTGATAAAGATCTACTTTTTACTGCTGCCTGCTGTATTATTTCAGTACTGTTTGCCAGGCCCAAACGAGAGGGCAGAGAGGCAGGATGTGTCCTGCCTGTGGAGACAGAATTTCATCTCAGTGCTTCTAAGACTTAGAAGCTTCTAAGACTAACTTGAGATCTATAGCATCCTTACTTCCTTTTTTATTCCATCATGAATTCTTTGTCCAAAAGTTGGACATCTGTCAAAGACTCATAAGAAAACACGGAGGGGCCCCTAAATGAGTATTAGACCTGTGAAGTCGACATGGGTGGGTAAAAGCACAGGTGCAGGGAGTTACCTTACAAGACGGTGTCCCCTGTGCATTCACTGTTCCAGATGAGTGTCCCTGCCAGCGTGGCACTTAGGGGCTGTGGCCAAACTAAGTTACATCTAGTATATAGAGATGCACCCAGAGGAGATTCTGTCCATCAAGGATGAGGTGCTAACGTGGAAACTGGTGGAGAGGGTCCTCCATGTGAGTGAACCTCAGGGTAGGCCCGACATGCCCTCAGTTAACTGTCGCAGATTAAAGCCGTCCCCCTACGACCAGGCCAACGCACTGTGAGCATTCGCCTCACTGAATTCCGATGTGATTTAATTTTCCATGTGGGTTTCCTTCCCAGAATACACCCCCAAATGGGTAAGTGTCCTACTCCCTTTGACAGGTTTGAAATCTGCAATCCTGAAGTCCAGAGCCTGGGCCAGTGAACTCACCTCGGGCACAGCCCAGGAATACTCAGGGACACAAACCGAATGGCCTAGGGGAGCAGTCTGTGTTCTAAGTATACCTTTTATGCCACAATTAAAACCCTCCAGGTCCACCCTGACTTGGAACTGCAGACAGAAGGGCTGTTGTAGGGTAACAAGGTTCATGGGAAATTGAGACTGAGTCAAGAAAGGTCACAGTGATAGGGACCAGCAGAGAAATGGAAGGACTGTGAGGCTCAGAGGCTAAAGAGAGCCAGACATCTGAGCTCCAGTTCTGACCAGGCTCAAGTGCAGAGGCAGAAAGTCTGTCCAGGGATAGAGGCTAATATTCTGAGTGGTAGGGCAGCCAAGGTCCAAAGGGCAGGCCAGGTTTGGAGGCTATAGAGTTAGTGCTGGCAAGATGCGCTTAGTTCCCAGGACAGGTCCCACCATAGGTCAAGGGACAGAGATGAGCAATCCAGCTTTGGAGGAGCTGGGTAGTCACTGGATCTGGGTCTGAGGACACCAAACCCCGACCTGGTGACCTGGGCAGCAAGTCTCAGGACCCTACACTGGGTAAACCCCAGCGGTGCCCAGGCCCAGAGCAGCCAGACGCCAGGTAAGGGAAATGAAGAGACATGGCTGGCGGCACAGGGACACCACCAGCAGACTTCAGGGTGTTTTGACCCTCTGGTGCAAGGGCTCTTTACACACCCCTGCTAAGGCCAAGAGGAGGGTTAACGGAAAGGTGTGTCTAAGTTTAGACTGGACCAGACACTGACAGGCCCCGAGCCCAGTGTCCAGTGTACTTAGCAGATACTGACCAAGTTTCTCCTCTTATTCTCACTGTCCTTTCTACGTAAGTGTGTCCCCACTTTAGTCAGTTCATGTAGTTTTGGACAAGAATTCCTGTTTGCGCCTGAGCCCTGCCGTGAGAAGCCTGAAGCGGCACCGTGCACAGGCAGGAGCGGTTAATGAACTTCCGTCACATGGGGTAAGATGGAAACGCGCATCAGCTGTGCCCCACCGTCCTACACTAGTCCATATTTTACATGCGGTAAAGCGAAAGCAAGGGACCTTTTTAACCAAGTTTCTTTAGTTGGAAATCTTGATAAAGTTTCAGATATTTAGACCCATTTACTTCTAACGTAAGTTCACCTTTATTGTTAAAAAAAACAAAAGCAATATTCTGGAAATAGTCATTATGTAACTATAATGAGAGCCCCTTTCTTGAAGCGCTGCTCACACCAGGGCTTTCCTCTCAACAGGGCGTAAGTGCTCGAGGCCACCCGAGAGCAGTTCTTTTGGATTTTCATAGGAGTCTAGGAGTGGAGGCCGGGCCTGACCTTCACAGCTAAGGACAGGGCCCAACGTAGTTAACAACCGCCTGCCATGTTCAAGTAGGAACAGACGTAACTAAGTGTGACTGACGTGGACACTGTCAGAAGCAAAGCCTCGTCCAGTCCACAGCTGTGTGACACACACGGGGTGTTTTCATCGTCGGTTCAATTAAACAGGTTCACTGTAAAAAGGAAAAGGCACCAAGAGGGCTGTCAACCCCCATCGGCTGGGACTCGGGGGGTCTCCTCTGCAGAGGGCGATGGGACCACAAAAACTCGACAGGCGCCTTGGAGCTGGACCAGACGGAGATGAACGACGGGCCAAATCGCGCAGGGATGCTGGCACTTCCCCGCAGAGTTAGCTAACTCCATCGCGTGTCCTCAACTAGGGGACGCCAGTGCTTCAGAAGCAGCGACCGCCCGCCCCGCTTCTGCACTAGTCTACTTGGTATCTCTCCCAGGGTCGGCTTGTTAGTGCACTTAGCAGACACGTCGGTTAGGAAGCCACGGGAACTTTAATTTTCCTCTCCATCCAAATCTGCAACATTTCACAGGGTCTGTATCACCGTTTACAACAAGAAAAAGCTTGGTACAGTTCTCAACGTTCTGGGCAGGTTTATGACACTTGTGCTTTAGCGTTACTTTAAAAAGGGGAAGGAGAGAAAAGTGGGCATTCAGAGCGGTTTACCCTTTCCAGTAAGAAGTAACAGCGCAGATGAATACTAGCAGCTTTACCACAAAGCAGACTATGGCTTTTACCAATCAGTGCTGGCTACTTCCATCTTCCTGCCAGTAATGACAATAATAAAGTGTTATACATCATAGGATGAGTGTAATAGTTCCATGGTTTTAGTGATATTTCTATCACTATTTTTCTACCCTTACCCTGGCCAGTAGCTCGGTTGGAGCATCATGCTGATGTGCCCGGGTTTCGGGTCTGATCCCCAGGAATCAACCAGTGAGTGCATGAATGGGTGGTTTTCTCTCTCCTTTCCTCTCTAAAATCAATAAATTAAAAATTAAAAAACGTCTACCCTTGAATGAGCTAACATTGAACAACTGCAGTACCTTCTGGAAGACTGATTCTGAGCATATGCTGGGCCTGCCCCCATAAGTTGTAAGTATCAGTGACAAAGACAGTGACAAGTGACAGGTAAGGGTGATCTTAGAGCTACTTAGGTTAACAACTTATATCTTAAGGCAGCCTGAATAATCAGTGCAGATCTGCGTCAGCGTAGAATTTCCCCTGAAATAACTTAAATTCTTCCCAAGTTCTTCCATCTCCTGGAAGGCGAGACTGTCGGTGGGGTTGGCGGGGAAAGGGGTTCTGTACGAATGAGAACCAGTCAGGACCTACTAAACCTTGAGACGAGCTTTAAATACCTTCGAGATAAGAGAAGTAACTTGATCTCTGAGAACTCGGTGCCAGAGAGAAGTTATTCCTGAGGACAAGTGGGGAGACATCTGAAGGGGTTCGTCACGTAGGCAGCCTCCCGGGTGTGCGTCCCTTCACCCGCCTGTCCCGTGGGCCTTCGGGCAGAGCAGGGGCTTCCTCTGCGGTTTTGTAGGAAAGCAGAGCACTGGCCTCCCTAGAGCCTGTCTCCCCTGCAGGCAGTTTTACACTGCAGCGCACACACGTCACATACTACACACACAAATACATCCTGAGGTTCTGGGAGGGCACTGGGGTCGGAGAACAGCACTTCACAACATGTTTCACAAGGGAAAGATGACAGAATGCAAGGGGCAGTTGTCTGGAACGGGCCCCTCACGTGACAGACGGGAGCCGGCGAGAGAGGACCGAGGGCCTCCTCCACGCAGGTGCCTTCAGAGCTACCTAACAATGAAGCACGGCCGGGCATTAAAGGGACACAGAGGACCCGCAGCCCGTGGCTCCAGGGCCAGGGGTATTTACTCTTCACCCCCTTTGAGAACCCCGCCTGTCCCTTCAGTGTCGCGGGCGTCCCGTGGGCTGGGGAAGGAGCATTCTCACTGAGTCCCGAGGCGATGGGGGCTAATCTCACCCGGCGGAAAGCTGCAGAGGCGGCTGAGGAGTCACACCAACCCTACGAAGAGTTTAGCATGATCGCCGGAGCCACATCAGCGCCCCTGAGAAGGAGAACCCGACGTCTGGCAACCCCGAGAGTCCCGGAGGTGGCATCGGCTACCGGGCCTTAAGGGACTCTGAGGGCCCGGTGACCGTATATAGTGCTACACTCGGCTACGTTCTAACCTCCCCCGGGAGCCGTGTGGGGAGTCTGCCAGCGGAGCTGAGTCTGAGTGACCCGAAGAGGTAAGGATTTGAGGAACTTTAGTCCTGAAGCCTTGAAGAACCCTCAGACCACATACTGTGTACTTTTAAAGTGAATTATGCATAAAAGTCTGTGCAAACTATTACATGTATTGCAGTAACATTCTCAAAAACCCCGAGTACATTTTAGCATTATTACTTAAGTTATATAAAATACATTTTTATAAAAGTACGGAATTTTTAAAGTTTAAATTATACCCACTGAAATAGGCAGCCAGGCCCCCTTTTTTAGTACTAAAATAAGGTTTTATCGATCTAAATTATTGCTTAGTCCTATGGAGCCATTAGAAACCTGTAACAAATGAAAATCAAGTCCTATTTCTTAAGGAAAAGTGCCCTAAAGATTCAGCCGTCGTTAAGTTAGTCTTTCTGAAGCTTTTCAACTCTGGAATCTTCCGTAAAACTGTCAACTGGTGCTACCCACGGCTGGGTTTGTCAGGATCCAAAACTGAGTCTGGTGGCAGAGTCCCTGCGTGTGCCAGGAAGCTGTTGGCATGCTGTCCCCAATCATAGTAGTCTGGAGCAAAACTTCAAAAGAAAAAGAGGCAGTTCAGTGACTTGAGATATTGTACTGATTGATGACTTCGTATAAACAAGTCCACGGGTTTTTAAGGAGTGTTACGTGCAGGGGCTAGAAGACCACTCACCAGAGTCTACAGGTACAGAGATACTAGAACCATAAACCAATCACAACATAAGAAAAGGTCCCAGCAACAAACTGAATCCTAAGCAGAGCACATAGAATTCACCGCCTGGGTGTCTGGACAGGTCATTCTGGGCCTCAGTTTTATTGTCTGTCGCTATCTTGTTGGGCTTTTTTGAGTTAATACCTATAAACTGCTTAGAGCAGTACCTTAATGTAGAGTTAACAATAATGTATGAGTATTATTAGTGTTATATTCTCCCCTGCCTGCATGGGGGACGGGTCTTTCCTTCCTCCACGCAGGCAGACTCCCTGGGCTCTGCTGCTCTGGCAGGTGCGGGGGGAGGGCGCACAGGGAACCACATGGCTGAGGAAATGCGACGGGGTAACCGGATAAGGGACCGGTCTTAGGGAGGAGGGTCAGGATGACTCTGGGTAAACTGTTAACGCCAGGTCTTTAAATCCACTAAGGACTGCAAACAATAGCTTTCTCTTCTGAGAAACAGGCAGCCTCGCACTTCCCCTTGGCAGGAGCAGGGCAGGGAGGCCCTGGGACAGCACTGGGTCGGCCCATTTGCCTCGCCGCCCGCTGGCCTCACAGTCCCAGATGAGCAGGTAGAAAGAGGGACATGATCACTGGGCAGTGGCATGTGGCTGAGGCATCAGAGGCCGGAGGAAAGGGGAGGGGGTCCCAGCCGCCACCACCCCTCCTGTGCACACTGTGCGGCGGGCGGCCTGGCCCAGGTGAGGACCAGCCCGGGTGGGGTCTGAGCTCGGGCTGAGGTTGGTCCCACACATTCAGGTGTGTCCTCTCCTCTGCTGCTCACCGGTGCTACCTGCAGCTCCAGGGTTTCCGAGCGGGCACTTTTTTCTAGCTGGAATCCACTTCCCCAGGGCAGCCCTTGCCCTCCTAACCTGAGCAAGGGGCTTACCTGCCCTGAAGTCCCTGAGGGGCGATGTTCCAGGCAAGGTCATCGTCACTGTCATATCTTCGAGGGTTGTCGAAGAAGTAGGACCTGGGACTGAATCCATGGCTGGGGACCAATCCAGGGCTGGTCTAAAAGGACAGTTACTGTTCAGCACATGCTCAGAGAAGGGGCTCACAGGACAAAGGAAAACAGGTCCTTTGCAGGAGACAAAAGATGCGCTGCTCCTCCGGACAGAGTCTCTCCCTGTTCAGCTGCAGGTCATTTCTCTTGCTTTTATTTTTAAAAGGTCCTATTTCTTTTATCCATATGGACAAAATCTTCCAGAGTTCTGCTTACAACTATGAATTACCACAGTATTAACCCCATAACGAAAACCAGACAACACCCAAATTAGCCAAACCAGATGGCCCAAATAATGTGGGCATTCACAACAAATTAAAATAATGAAATAATAGTGATGAAATAATTTTGAAAACGTTTCTTATCCAGTTTCCATACCTGCCTATTTCATCCTGTTTCTGTCCCCAAGCTGGGTTTACCTCTCAAAAATGTTCAAATGACTGGTTTGAAGCAAGCAGATCAGAACTATATGATACAGCAAAGCAAAGCTGGCGTCACACCTGGCATCTGCCTGACATCCTTGTGCATGTAATTAGTGGTCCATTTAAAAGTCAACCAGCAGAATATGGAACAGAGCTGCTGTGTGAGGGTGTCCGCATGTGAATTCCTGCTTTTCTGAGACTAATCAACCACATATAGGGAGCAAGGCGGAACTTACACGAGGTGTGATGCCTCAAAATTTGCTGTTGTAGCAGTTCAAGGATGAATGCAAAGAATGAAGCTGGACCCTTACCTCATATAAAAGGGATCTCAAAATGGACCAAAGACCCAAATGTAAGAGTAAAAACCATAAAATTCTTAGAAGAAAACATAGGAGCAAATCTTCATGACCTAGAATTTGGCAACGAATTAGCTAAGACTCCAAAAGCGTGAGCAACAGAAAGAAAAGCAGAGAAACTGGCTTCATCCAAAGTGAAAGACTCCTGCGCTTCAAAGGGCATCGTCAAGAAATTTAAAAGACAGCCACAGCATAGGAGAGAATATTTGCAAATCACGTATCTGACAAGGGACTCACACCTAAAATATATAAAGAACTTCTTACAACTCAATAATAAAAACACAACTCAATTTAAAAATGGGCCAGGCAGGGTGTGGCTCAGCGGCTGAGCGTCGACCTAAGACCCAGGCGATCAGGGTTCGATTCCCGGTCAGGGCACATGCCCGGGTGGCGGGCTCAGTCCCCAGTCAGGGGCCTGCAGGATGCAGCCGATCAATGACTCTCCCTCATCATTGATGTTTCTATCTCTCTCTCTCTCCCTCTCCCTTCCTCTCTCTGAAATCAATAAAGAT